AGGAGCCAGATTTCTCCACTGGCCGATGGTTAGGATGTGTTGTGCCAAAACCAGCAACCTGGAAGTTCAAAGGTGATGGGAGAAAGGGGTTCTGCAGGCAAATAAACTTGACAAATGCTGCAACAATGGAGGCAAGAGAGGGAACACATGTTAGAAAACACTGAATTAGAAGACTTCTGATATTCTTGACTCTGACACCTGGAAAAGTTGTGCATTTTAAAGGTGGTGACGTTTACAGCTACTGTTTATTGAGGGCTTACCATGAGACACAGAGAGGTTCAGCAACTCGTCCAAGCTCACACAGCTAACACATGGTGGAACCAGGACCATACCTGCTCCCTCAAAACCCTGCTCTTAACTGCTAGGCCACCCTTCCGCGTGGACTGCTGATAGTCTGTGTGTGGTTGGGCTGACTTAGTACGATGATGAGTATTTAGGGGAAACAAACATGGGGTCGGCATTATAGTGAAAGGAAAGAGCACCGACCAGGACCCAGGAGACTTGGGATTGGAAGCCTTGTCTTGCGAATTTAGAGCTCAGGCCCTTTCTACTGACCAGTCGCCGAGCCAGGCCGGCATGCGGGGATGCTGTGTGGCGTCAGGAGCACTCGCTGGACGGCCAGGTCAGGGAGGCGGAGGTCACTCTGAGTTAAGTGGCCACAAGTCCTTCTTTCATTGCTCGATGTCCACGACCTGCTCTGATGCAGAGGAGGCCCTGGTTTGGGGTAAAACGCCGCATGTGCCCTCTGCCTCCATCTTCCTGAGATGAGCTAACAGGGGAGCGGAAGGCCTCTGCCCCCGTCTCGCCTGACCACTTGATACTACACGCTACCGACAGTGGTGCACAAAGTGGGCTGGGCAGGGGGTTAGGGTGGTAGTCACGCCCCAGGCATAGAACTTACCTTTGTCTTCAGCTAGCCCTGTCCACTGTTCCTGTGCATCTAGCTCAGTGGTTCTCAACCTTGGCCGCACATTAGAATCACCTGGGAATCTTTTTAAAATCCTGATTTCTGGGCCTCATCCTCCGGAAATTCTGTTTCTTTGTTATGGGGTGGGGACCACAACATTGGTAACAAAGAAACAGAATTTCCAGAGGATGAGGCCCAGACATCAGGATTTTAAAACGATTCCCAGGTGATGATAATGTGCAGCCAAGGTTGAGAGCCACTGATCTAGCTTAACACACCTTGGAAATAAGCATAACCCCCCTTAAGAGGACACATGAACTCTTCTGCAATTCAGTCTCCGCCTTGCTTTCTCCCACGTGCATGCATTCGTCCTTAAATCCTTCCTCAAGTCCCAATGCATTAAAGGAACCGCCAAACTGTCATTCTCCAGAGACTCGGAGACCTTGCTTCCCGGCAACTGCCGTCAGCTGGGCTCAGGGACGCTCTAATAAAAAGCGTCTGGACGTTTCTTACGTCAACACAGCAGAGAGCACAGGGTACCTTCCCTCGGCGACCATGGAAACAGGAACAAACACGTCCAGGTTGGAGCTGAGGCTCCCGGAGACGGGCTTCCAGCCCAGCCCTGCACGTGGAGGTGATGGTGCGCATTCGCTGAACGCATCACCCCTGCGTGTGGCCAGGCTCCGGCCATCAAAACCCCGGTCCTCTTCGTTCCTGGCTCCTGCAGGGAGCACGCAGGGCCTGGCCTCCACCAGGCAGGGACCTGGGCCTCGCACCCTCGTTTCTCCCGCACCGCTGGCAGGAGACCCCACAGGAACTCGGCTGCAGGAGGACCCGTGAGCCTGGGCGAGGCCCGCAGGGTGGCTCCCGGCGGGATCTGCTGCCCTCGTGTGGCCATCCCGGCTCAGAGCTCACAGGAGGAGAAACTCCCGCAAATGGAGTCCCTTGGAAAGGCGAAGTGGTGAAGGACAGCAGAACTGAAACCCACCGGACCAAAGCAGCAGCCTTCCTGGGGCCGCCTCCAGCCCTTTGGTCTCAGGACCCCTTTCCACTCCTAAAAATTAGTGAGGCCCCAGCAGGTGTGGCTCAGTGGATACAGCAACGGCCTGGGGACTGATCCCTGGCCTTCTTTGGGGAGCGGGCGGGAATCAACCAATTGATGTGTTTCTCTCACATCAATGTTTCTCTCTGTGTCTCTCCCCCACCCTCCACTCTCTCTAAAAAAAATCAATGGAAAAATATCCTCAGGCGAGGAGTAACGAACAAAATAAAATTACTGAGGACCCCAAAGACTTTTGTGATGTGGACTGTCGTACATTTTTTCACACCTGGCTCCCTGGTGTGGCCTGCTGGGGTCCGGAAAGGGCGGGGTCCCCTCAGGTGCTCAGGTGCCGAGTCCTCAGGCACAGGTGTCTCTGGCCAGCTCGGTGCTGCTGTTCGTTTTGCCAGCCCAGTCCCCTTGGGTCTGACTTGTGCTTCTGGAAACAAAAAATTCTTTCAGGGAGTCGACTCCCAGGCCCTGGAGACTGAGTCTTTTCACGTCTGCATCTCCTCATGGCCTGGAATACACACTTATCTATAAGTTCCCTGATGTAAATCCACCCATTTCCTCCTGAACCCAGAGCAGACCGTGCCCCAGTGTCTGTGGTGACAACGGAGCCCCCTCTGCCTGTGCCAGCCCCTCCAAACCCTCAGAGCACAGGCCCCAGACCTCAAGTGGGAAACCAAAGTGGGTCCCTTCTAAATACAATACATAGAAATAAGTCTCGGGTGGATTTAAAATCTGAATGTGAAAATTAAAATTTTAGTTTTTAGAAAGCATCGAGGGCCGGGGAGATCACTTAAAGAAGACTCAAAGGCACAGCGTACAGGCGAAGGGCTAACACGTTTAACAACACCAACGTTTAAAAATCACCGTGGCATCGTAAGATCCTTAAGGGAGGTAGAGAGAAACCACAGCCGGGGAAGAGTATCCGAACGAATCTAATTGACCAGAGATTAGCGCTGCTCCAGAGTATATATCTTAAGAGGCCTAAATAGCTATACTAATAAAAGCGTAATATGCTGATTAGACCAGGTGGACCGGACATTGTCCGGTCGTCCAGTCCTCCTTCCGGACAAAGACACGGTGGTGGGGGATGAGGTAGAGGCGGTTAGGGACGATCAGGCCAGGAGGGGAGGGCAGTTAGGGGTGATCAGGCAAGCAGGCAGGTGAGCAGTTAGGAGCCAGTGGTCCTGGATTGCGAGAGGGATGTCTGACTGCCAGTTTAGGCCTGATCCCCTGCCTCAACTGGTAGTCGGACATCCCCCAAGGGATCCCAGATTGGAGAGGGTGCAGGCAGGGCTGAGGGACCCCCACCCCCCACCCTGTGCACGGATTTCGTGCACTGGGCCTCTATTCCATAAATAAAAGGCAAACCGTCCAAATGAAAAAACGGGCAGGAGATAGGCACAAATAACCAACAAGGCAACATGATGCACAGCCAAGACGTGTAAAAGGAGGCTTAACCTCATCACAAACTAAACCCACACCTTGACCTGGCCACACAATGGTTCTTACCCTTTGGCCTTCTCACATTTACTTGCTTTTTCCCATCTTAACACTTCACTATAACCCTTCATTATGGGAGCACCCATCCCTCCCTCCCTCCGGAAGCGCCCCTACCTTCTGCTCTACCCCCGAGGGAACCCTGTCAGGCCTTTCAAAGGACCTCTTGAAGCCTAACAAACCCAAACTCTTGTCAGATCTCCTCTTCAGAAGCCCCTCTCGGATAAACACGGCCACATCGAGTGAGCTTCCCCTGTGCTTCTTCCCCTTTCATCTCCTGGGAGCTGTCACCGCCAGGGACCAGCCCCACCTGCTGAGAGCCCCCCTCCACTCCGATGCCACCCTGGGTCTGATGCGAGATAGTCACAGCCCCTCACAGCTCAGATCCCTACCACAGGCCAGGAACACCACGGGCCAACCCAGCTCTGGCTTCCCGCCCCCGCTCTCCCACGCACAGCCCAGGGGAAAGAAGGCTCCGTCAGACACCAAAACACAGAACCCCCATTCCTCTCATGACGAACAGCAGCTCTCCGCACGCCGTTGTTTCTGGGACAAGGACACGGAGCCCGTCTGCAGCACACACGCGCCTGTGTTTCCGCAGGGCCTGATGGTCATGGGCCCAGGGCCTGCTCTGTGCGGCTATGTGGTCCTCCCAACCGTGACTCCTTTAGAGAGGAGAGCCGCCCCTCCACACCCCCACCGTGCCGAGGTGGCCAGAGAGGAAAGGGGGCGCGTTTCTGAGCCCGGCTCTGACCTCGCCCCGCTGCGCGCTGCTACCCTTTGAGGACACTCGCTCTGTTTCGGCAACTGCCTTGCAGGGTTTCTGGCGACAGGCACGGTTGAAGCCAGCACAAGGCTGTGCTTAGCACTGGCAGCTGGCATAGCTCCGAGCTGCCAGCCACCGGGCCTCACGGCTCTCGCACACCTTTGCTTAGGGAACTTTCTAGTTAGAGAAACGATTGCAGAGATGGGGGTGGGGGACATAAGCCTCTCTTTATTTATTTTTTTAAATATATTTTATTGATTTTTTACAGAGAGGAAGGGAGAGGGATAGAGAGTTAGAAACATCGATGAGAGAGAAACATCGATCAGCTGCCTCCTGCACATCCCCCACTGGGGATGTGCCCGCAACCAAGGTACATGCCCTTGACCGGAATCGAACCTGGGGCCCTTCAGTCCGCAGGCCGACGCTCTATCCACTGAGCCAAACCGGTTTCGGCCAGCCTCTCTTTAATATGTTTCTATTGATTTCAGAGAGAGGAAGGGAGGGAGAGATAGAAACATCAATGAACGATGAGAAACATCGGCTGCCTCCTGCACGCCTCCTACTGGGGATAAGCCAGAAACCTGGGCATGTGCCCTGAGGAACGGAACCGAGACCTGGATCACAGGGACGCTCAACCACTGAGCCACTGGCCGGGCCCAATCTCTCCTTCGTAACTGGGTGAGTCTCCTTCCTGTGCCCAGACCTGCTATCCCAGGAGTGGCCGTGCGATGCAGGGATGAGGCCAACACTGACCAACAGACCAAACTGCAATACTCCCACAGGATTCATCTTTTATTGATATTAATTAATATTAAGCCACTTCCCAGGGGAACTGCTGTAACACGATTAGGACTTGGTTCTAAAGGTAATAACATACTGACGTCCTAGACAGAGCACTGGCCACATTCCTCGCAGAGAAAATGGGCTTTTCTTCTCCGGCCAGTGACCGGGTGCCTGGTGCGGCCTGCCCTGCGGGAGCCCGGCCTGCTGTGCGCGCACCTTCCTTCGTCCCCTCCTCTCGCCCGCACATCCTGGCCCCGAGGCGCCGGCCCATCGCGCCCCCCGCTCCTCTGGGGGGCTTGTTTCCCCGTGAGCGCTCGGGAAGGGAGAGCCTCCGTCTGGTGGCCAAACTAGCACCAAAAGGCGGTTCTTCTCCACGCAGTAAAACGGTCTTTTTTTATTCTCGTTTGCTTTTTTCTAAGGAAATAAAAGTCTTAAAAGTACATGGCACTAGAGTGTGAGACTGTACAGGTGCATTGGTCACAACCCCCGGCGGCCGCCCTCAGATGTGGAGCTGGTGGGAGGCCAGCGTGTCCATGAAGGGGCGCACCAGGTTGTCGGTGGAGAAGTAGAAGATGAGGCCGAAGGCGATGGAGATGGGCAGGGCGGGCAGCGCCTTCTTGAACACGGCGAGCAGCAGGAGGGTCAGGCACAGGCCCTGCGGACACGGGGGGCGGGGGGGGGGCAGTCAGACAGCCCGGCCTGGGTGCAGGGCTTGTCAAGGGCACCCACAGCCTCCCGGGTCCTCCCGACAGCTGAGGGCCGAGGACGGTTCCCCCCGTAACTCCTGCACGTCAGTGGGTGAGCCTGAAAGCGGCTCCTGACTCGGCACGTTGCTGTCCGCCAGACCTGCCTGCTGCCTGCCCACAGCAGGGACCCGCGGCCTGAGGGCAGCGGCCGCCCCTCGGGACACACGTTTCTAGAATTGGATGGGCTCGACTGAATGCTGGCACCACGGGAATCTAAGACGGCGTGTGCCTCCTCCCTCGGTCCTGCCCGCCCGTCCCCGCCTGGCAGATGCAGGAACGAACTGTCAGAGCCAGGTGCCGGCTGTGCCCTGGGAGGGGCGGCTTCAGGTCCCCCAGTGCAGAGGGGGCGGAGCCTGGGGCCCAGCACCCTCCCCGATGGACTGGAGCCTGAACGTGCCACGTGGTGCCGGGGTTCGCCCCTCAGAGCCGCTGCCCTGAGATCAGTCATCACAGTTCGTTTCCCCCAGAGGTCCGTCTGGCCACCTTAAGTGACTACAGGAGCCTCCCAATTCCACTGCTGGGGCTCAAAGTGATGGGGTCCCCTCCTGAACCCTGGGAGACCCTGGGTTCAGAACCCATGGGGTGTGGGGGGCACGGAGGGAACGCGCCAGCCCTGGAGTCAGAGACTGAGCTCACCGGCGTGTGCGCCCAGGCAAGGCCCTCAACCTGTTCCCTCTGCCACGACCTCAGGTGCCGTGACCCCAGCGCACAGCTGCCCGTGCACCTGGCCACCTTCGCATCAGAGCCCCGGACCCCTCCCTGCACCTCCCTGTGTCTGTGGGCGCCCAGAGCCCGTGCACACCTCGGTCTCACGCTGAGGATCTTGGAAACCCTGCCTGGCCCCCATCACTTCTCCCTCGAGGGGCCACAGCACCTGAACATCCCCGGGGGCCCCAGGAAGACCTCCAGCCCCACTGCCCACTCACGATGAGGATGGCCACGAAGCAGGCCAGCGTGGTGTTCCAGTCCCCGCTGCCCGTGGCCGCCGCCTTGCCCACCAGCACGCTGTAGAAGATGAAGTCTCCGAGGCCCAGCTTCACGCCCCCTGTGTGGGCGAGACAGAGTCCATCATCCCAGGGGGAGGCAGCAGCCAGACACCAGGGACCGAGAGGAGAGCCTGGGGTGCTCAGGGCGCAGGACGGGGTCACTTCACCACCGGCCCCGCTCACCTGGCCTCTGGGGCAAGGACCGGCTGCCTCGGAAAACCGTAGCCAGCGGGACAAGGGGGAACCCAGGGGCTGGGCGACCTGCAATCCGGGCTGTGAAAAGCTGGCATGTCCGAGAACTCGGGCAAAACTGGTGCTTAAAAACCAAAAAATCCTGGTGCTTGGCACTTACTTAAAAAAAAGTCAAATAAAATGCATTGTCCAGGGCTGGTGGGAGGCCGTGCAACTCAGTGCTGGGTTTGAATCACAAGTGCCCTTTAGGGATTTAACTTCACTGCTTGTGAGAACATGCACCACACCCAGCGGTCCTCTGCAGACCTTTCCCCTTAGAAATAGGGAACGTACTTGCAAGCAGCCTCTCCCTTACTGAACAGCGAATGAGAGGCTCTGGGGTGCTTTCGGGTTGTCTCTTTTATACACCTGCCCCTGGACACCGCACAGGGCCACTTTCTTCACCGCAGACAGTGAGACTCTATATCTATATGTATAAAAGCCCAATATGCAAAGGGTCCCCTCGGGAGTTCGAGTTCAACGACTGGGAGCTCGATCACTCACTATGACGTGCACTGACCACCAGGGGGCGGCGCAGAATGAAGGAAGGCCCTGGCCAGCAGCCGGCAACTGGGGAAGGGAGGCCCCGGCTAGGGACCCTACCTTAGTGCACTGGGCCTCTAGTGTTCCTATAATAAACCTGAGTCGGCCTGTATCAAGGGAACTGCTCGCCTCCTCTGCCCCTATGCCCTCCTCCCCCCCATGCCCTCCCATGCCCTCCTCCCACGCCGCCCTCCCATGCCCTCCCCCCGCACACCCTCTTTCCCTCCAGACTCCAACCAGGTGGCGCTCCTCCTGGTCAAGGCAATGTCTGTCCTGATGTGGCTGAACCTGGGAGCTCAGGTCTCCCTCTGACCCCCGACACCTGGTCCAGAACCCCGGTGCCCCCATCCCGAGTTCTCCTGCACAGCCCCCCTCCCCCGACTCAGTGTCCGTGATCAGGGCCCACTCTGTGAGAGGTGAGTCTCAGAGCCGGGCCCTGCACAGTGCAGGCCGGCACACGGCTGGGGCTCGGTGACCGTGGCCCAATACAGGCTTCAGCCTGCATGTGCGAGGCCCGCGGCCTGCCGACAGGACCTACCCCCACGGGTTCCTCCTGGACGCCAGCAAGGCCGTCTGTCTCCCTCACGCCCTCCGCCCTGGACATCAGGGCTCCCCATCTCCCCCCGCCCAGGGCCCACAGACCCTCTGGACATGGGCACCTTACTTTCCTCCTCTTCCTCCAGCTCCTCCCCCGGGGAGCCAGGCAGGGGGGGCTCAAGGACTTCCGGGTACGAGGGCTCCCCCAAACTGTCGCAGGAGTCTTCTTCTGGGTCCAGTAGGAGATGCCGGCATCCCCGCAGGGTGGGAGAGGAAGGGAGAGACAGAAGCTGGTCAGAGGCTTCTCTGGAGCTCAGGGTCCCTGCCCGCCCCCTGGCCCGGTGCCAAGGAAAGACTCCCCAGGCCATGTAAGAGGAAGAGGCTGAGGCAGAGGACCGAAGGCCACCCTCGTTTGGTCCCCAAGATGCCAGGAGGGCTGGTCTTCCCTTCTGCCCCCCAACCTCGTGTCTCCCAGGGAGGCCAGGCCAGGCTGAGCGGGGAGCAGTGAGGGGCCGCCCCCAGGGCCCCAGGCTACCAGCCCCCGGCACTCACCCATCTCTGGGTCGTAGGGGAGCTGAAGGGCCCCCTGAGAGGAGGGGTCCGGCTTGGCCATGCCCACTGTCCACACCATGGCGGCTGCGGGGGGGGAGAGAAGGGTCACGCCTCAGGCAGGGCCAAGGGGCTCCCAGGGTCCCTGGAAGCCCACACAAGCCCCCCGTTCCCTGGCGTTCGCTATGCCCACTGGCAGGAGGCTGCGGGGGAGGGGTCCACACTCACTGACCAGGTTCGGGCAGTGCTGCCTGCCCACAGCAGGGACACGCGACCTGAGGGCGGCGGCCTTTCCTGTCTTTTTTTGCCTCCTCACCAAAACAATGGCAACAATATCAGCAAACAGTCTGATGAACTAATTGTGTTTTCGTTTTATTGTGTAAAGAACATGTAACATCTATAATGATAAACGCACAATATGCTAATTAGACCGGACGTCCTTCTGGACAACCTTCTGGATGCAGCCGGGGCTGGGAGGGAAGCCCGGGTCCTGGGTGCGGAGGGAAGCTGGTGCCGGCAGCTGGGGAAAGGAAGGCCTACTCTTGTATGGATTTCGTGCACTGGCCTCTAGTGAACTCTATCGTCTTAGCCATTTGAAGTGTTAAGTATATGCACGCTGTTGTGGAAGAACAGATCTCCACAACTTTTCCAGCTCGCAGCACGGAAACTCACCCAGTGACCAGCCCCACTTCCCTTCCCCTGTCCTACTTCCTGTCTATGAGTCCGATACCGCACATACGTGCAATCTACAGGATCTGTCTCTTGGTGACTGGCTTGATCTGCTTAGCATGTCCTCAAGGTTCATGCCTGTAGCACAAGTCAGAACTCCTCTCCTTTTCAAGGCGGAATAGTATTCCACAGTGTCGATACATTTGGTTTATCTGCTCACCCCTCAGTAGACACCTGGCTGCTTCCAGCTCTTGGCTGTTGTGAATGCTGCTGCTACGAACATGGCTGCACACACACACCCAAGACCTGCTTTCAGTCCTCCTGGGGCTCTGTCCAGAGGGGGCCTGCTGCATCACGTGGTACTAACTGTGTTCTCTCTCTGGCCTGGAGACTCCCTCTTGCACTCACGTCCAGCTCTGCAGCCAATGCCCGGGGGCACCTCACACTCCATGCACCCCCACTGCTCCCAACCACGGCCAGTTCCCTCCTCTTTGCTGCTCAGACCGAACACGCCATCATCCCTGACTCTCATTCCTCTCTCTCGGGTTGTTCTTCAGGCTCTAAACCCAGCTCCTGCCCCCCTTGATCCCGAACCACTGTTCCCCGCCCAGCAACCTGTGCGGTCCTATTAAACGTCCAGTCACGCCCTGGCCGGTCGGGCTCATGGATAGAGCGTTGGCCCGAGGACTGAAGGGTCCAGCTCCATTCCAGTCCAGGGCAAGGACCTCGGTGGCAGGCTTGGTGTGTGGGAGGAAACCGATCGATGGTGAGGATTAACAACAACAAAAAACAAACAAAAGAGCAAACCAGCCCTGGCCGGTTTGGCTCAGTGGAGAGAGCGTCAGCCTGCGGACTGAAGGGTCCCAGGTTCGAGTCTGGTCAAGGGCATGTACCTTGGTTGCGGGCACATCCCCAGCAGGGGGTGTGCAGGAGGCAGCTGATCGATGTTTCTCTCTCATCAATGTTTCTAACTCTCTATCCCTCTCCCTTCCTCTCTGTAAACAATCAATAAAATATATTAAAAAAAAAAAGGGCAAACAAGTCCCGTCACGTCACGTCAGTCTGAAATCTTCCAGGTGTGTCACGTCTCACTGAGGAAAGCCTGCAGGGCCGGCCGTGACCTGGACCCCCTCCCCCCGCCTCCCCCCAGCGCGCTCACGGCCATCTTAGGCCTCGGCACTTGCAGCTCTTCCTTCTGCCCAGAATTCTGTCCCAGGCTGTCCTCGGGCAGGACACGCCTCCTCGGGCAGAGGCCTTCCTTGACCATCATGTGTGAACAGCAGCGCCACTGCCCGGAGTCCTCAGGCCCCTCCCGCGCCGTCTCTCCACACAGCACGCACCTCCTGGCCTGTTAGTGACTGCCTGGCCCCCTCCCAGAACGCAAGCTCCACGAGGGCACAGATGTGAATGAAGTCCAGGCACTGTCCGGTCTTTCCCCTGTGGTGCCGGCTCATCCTCGGAACAGGCCCGGACGGAGCTTTAACTCGACCTTCATTGGTTAGAGGTCACCCAGAACCCCGCCGCTGCTCCATCACGGGCTCCAGGGCACCCTGCACAGCCGGCCCCGGAAGTTCAAGCTCTTACTTAAGTAAGGGCCACCAGCCACAGACGGAGGGATTAAAGCCACAGGGCTGTGCGCTCTGGGGCCCCGGCCCCCGCGGGCCTTGTCTCATCGGCGTCTCCGAGGCCCGCACAGTGCCTGCCACAAGGGGGGCTCTGATACAGGTGTGCTGCACGCGTGTGCACCCACCCTACACCTGGCCTGAGCCAGGGGCCCCCACGTGCCTCCCCTCAGAGACTCAACGCCGGAAGCTGCGGCCTGCCTCGCTCACTTCCCACCTGCGCCCCGTGTGACAGCAAGCTGCTGGCCGCTGTCGTCCTGGAGGGGAGACCCTCCTGAGGCCCCCAGGCCTCCTCCCCGCTTGGGTCAGGGAACGGGCAGCCACCCCCTAGTGAACTCTGAAGCCAGGCCTGACCCCATGTCGGGAGGAGGTGGGGGCCACTCACAGGAGTATATCAGGGCCGGAAATATGGGCTCATTCCTCTCCTGGGCCGTCTCCACCAGCATCCGCAGCGGCCCCTTGGGACACAGCACAGCCATGAGATCTGGAAATACAAAGTTAAAAAGGAGATTTACCCCCAAGCACCCCCAAAGAGAGGAGCCAGCCCCCTAACACCGGTATGGGGGGGGCGTGCCCCAGAGCCCGAGTGTGAGGCTCTCAGGACGGGCCCTGCCGTCCTATCACCCAACCCACAGTCTCCAGTCACAGCCGCCAGCCTGCCATTGGAGCCCAGAGCGGGCCAGGGAGGGCTCCCTGCGAGCAGGGAAGAGGAGGAACTGGAGTCCCACATCCCTGGGCCCTAGAACGGAAGAAACAGAACCGGGGAGGCCCTCACACGAATGCCAGTGAGACCGTGGCTAACGCTCCGGGTGCCCCAGCTACAGGTGCCGTGCCCAGCCCGTGCCCAGGACTGGCAGTGCGTCATGCTTCAGTGCGAGGGCTCGGTAAACGTTTGCCTTTAACAAACCGCGTCAGCAGTCGTGAGTCCACACAGGACACTCTCTCAGAAGGGAGGTTCCCCCGCCCCCCCCGGCCCCCAAGTCTGCTGGGAACGGGGAGGGAGGAGGGGCCTTTCCACACTGGCCACGCGTGTGCAGCAGCGAGGCTGGGCCCTCGACGCTGACCACTGCCTGCCGCAGGCTCTGCCCGCCGGTGCCCACCTACCGTACACAGAGATGGCGCCCAGGATGACCCAGGCGGACCACTCCGGGAGGTACTTGATGAAGACCAAGGCCATGAGCGCGCTGATCATGATGAGGTAGGCCTGCTGCAGCACCAGCGGGCCCTTCCAGTGGATGCACACCATGCCCACCGCCCCGAAGTTCCAGACGACCAGGAACAGGGTGGGGTAGTCCATGGCCACGTTGTAGGTCTTGAGCACTTCCCTGCGGGACCCGAGTCCAGCCCGGGGGCGGGGCACTCAGCGAGAGCCAGACCCGGTGCCAGTCAACACCCTGCTCCTCAGCCCTCAAGTCCCAGCCTGGTTTCCAGCTCCTGGCGCCACTGACCAGCATTCCCTTCCCCATTCCTACGAGTCCCGCACGAACCACTGGAAATGGTCTGGAACGAGGGGGGGGGGAAGCCGACGGCTCGTTCTTGGGCTGCTCCACGTGGGTGTGCACTGGCACGACCGGAAGGCCCTCAGCCCCTGGACATTCCGGGGAATGTGCTCTCTCCGCTCCCTCCTGTCTCTGTGCCCCTGGGTCAGGCTGATATCCCAAATCAAGGGCAATGGAGACCCTTTTTGCCATAAACTAGGAAGAACCCAGATCCAGCCCAAAGACTAGAATGTGAATTCTGAGGGGTCCTACCCTCCTTGGGTTCACAGAGAGCCTCGTCCCTGAAGGCTCTGCTCGTTTGTTTTAAATTAGGAACCACAGAGACGCGTGGCCCACCATGGAGACCACTCCGTGTCAGAATAAGGCCTGCAGGCCCGGCCGGTGTGGCTCAGTGGCTGAGCATCGACCTAGGAACCAGGAGGTCACGATCTGGTTCCCAGTCAGGGCACTGGCCGGGGTTTCAGGCTCGATCCCCAGGAGGGGGCGTGTAGGAGGCACCGATCAATCATTCTCATCACTGATATTTGTATTTCTCTTTCCTTCTCCCTTCCTCACTGAAATCAATAAAAATACGATAACAAAAGGTCTGTGGAAAGAGGAGCCCGGCTCGGAGCAGACCCTGGGGAGGGTGCGGAGCCCAGGGGAGCCCTTCCCCACCCAGGTCCTTCACGGCCGCTCGGGCCACCGCGGGAGGGCCCCGAGGACTCGCTGCCCACCAGCTGCCACTCACCCGAGGTAGATGTAGGTGAAGAGGAAGAGCAGCATCAGCGAGGACATGATCAGCCAACCGTGGATGAACTAGAGAGAAGCAGGCAGCGTGAGCACACAGCGTGTGCCCCAGCCCCATCGCAGCCTCAGGCTCCCGGCGCCGATGATGCCCACGCCGGGAACCCTCCTTCCTCAGGCTCCTCCGAGGCGGGGCTGGAGGGCCGGGGCGGCTGTTTTCCAGGCACATGGGGCACAGAAATTCAAGGTCTCCCTAGGCCGCCCTGCGAGTGTACGGAGACCCAACTGCTTTAGGCCGAACACCTGGACCTCACCCACCCAGAGGACATGCTGGCGTCCCTACACGCCAGGCACTGTCTGGGCGCCCGAGGAAGCCAGCAAAGCTTCTGCCCGCGCGTGCTGCATTCCATGTGAGGGCAGCAGGCGACACACAGATACACACGCATCGTGACAGGCGGCGGCAAGGGCTCTGAAGAAAGCCAGCCGCGGGCTGGTCCCAGGAGAGCCACCGGTGCTGACTTAGACGCGGGGGCAGGGCAGGCTCTTGGAGAGGCTTCTTTTGAACAGAGTCAACCCAGGGAGTCCCTCCCACCTGAGGGTCTGCAAACACTGCTCTCCTCCCTGCCAAGCCGGGGAGGGTGAAGGACGAGGGGGCTCCTCAGCCAGTCCTGGGCCCAGCACAGGGCACAGCGCTGATGCTCCTTCCAAGCCTCCCCACCTGCACACAGACCCAGCTCGGGACCCGGCGCCTCAGGCAGGACCTGGTCCCCCAGGAGTGAGGCCGTGGCCTTGCCAGTGCCCGGCTGCCTGTGGAACCTGCCGACACTTTATCACAGCAGCCCCGCCCGCCCGAGGCCATGGCCATCACCTGAGGTCATGGACCTGCAAGTAAACTTGACTGCACAGCCCCAGGACTGGCCACCTGGTGCCTACTGACCCCAGCAGTGCTGGCCTCCCCACTCCCGGCTCCCAGCTGCTCTCATCTGTGCTCCGGACAAGCAGCCCTCCACCCTCTTCCCCCGTCCACCGCCCTCCCCACCCCAACCTGAAACTCGGGCTCACCTGCACAGGTCATTACCTATCAAGAAGCTCAGCGCCCGCACACCTCCTGACAGCCCTCCCTTCCACCCCCGCTGGGAGGGGGCTCATCTCTTCAGGCCGAGCCTCCTCCCCTCCCTCTACCTGCCCCACAGAAGGCGGCAGCCTGAGTACAACGTGCTCACGCCTGTGTGTGAGTGGTTTGCATTAGGTAATCCCTAGTTTAACTTCCTTCTAGTCCTCAGGGCGTCAAAGCTCCGTGAAGCCTACAAGCTATGGCATCTCTGGGGGCAATGCCCAGGATGGGGGCCAGGCGGACTCCACGCCTCTATCACCCCGGGGCCACTCCACAGCTGGGGGAGGTGGGGGGGGAGAGTGGGCCTCCCAACCAGCACCGGAAGACCCAGCCCAGGATCTGTACGACGGGCCTAAAGGGAAATGGGAAAATAAAATAAGCCCGGAGGGAAGTATGGGGTAAAGGGAGCCTAGAATAGAACACTCATTCCTTCGGAAGGAGAAGCAAAAGAAAACTGACCTTGAATACGAGAAGTGACATGTGAATGCTGCAAGGAGGAACTCAATTAGGTGGGATTATGTGTAAGTTTAAAACACAAGAGCAGTGGCCGCTAACCCATGGGAGGGGCAGGAGAGGGGTGGTACGAGTACCAAAAACCAGAGTCTGTTTTGCAGAGAAAAAGGAACTCTGGTTTTTTTAAGCCGACGGTTGCAGCACAAGAGGCACCGCAGGGGGCGGCGGGACAGGCGGGCGGGCGGCTCACCTTGTAGCAGCGGTACTTGTACAGCACGACCAGGAAGATGGTCATGACCACGATGACGCTGAGCATGATGAGGGTGTTGAGCACGGAGTTGAGCAGGCGCTGGCCCACCGAGGGCGTGTCTTCGGTGAAGGGCGTGTAGATGCTAAGGGAGGAGGCCAGGGCTCGGTGCCCGTCCCTGCCTGGTCCGTGTGCCCCCCCAAAGGAGCCCTGGACGCCTGCCCTGGGGGCGTGCTGCCGGCCATCCCCGCTGCTGCCCTGCCTTCCAACCCATCTCCCAACCCCGACCTCAGCCTGAGGACCAGGCCCCAGACAGGGTGCGGACTCTTCGTCCCTGCTCCTTTCTGCCGCTGGCACGGAGCTGCGGTGCCCTGGCCGGTGGAAGCCACCACCCCGACCCAGCCCCGCTCCCACCTGCCGGGGCCCACTCACAGCTGCCCGTTCTTCTCCGTGTAGAAGCGCACGGACTTGATGGAGGCCACCACCCCGACCCAGCCCCGCTCCCACCTGCCGGGGCCCACTCACAGCTGCCCGTTCTTCTCTGTGTAGAAGCGCACGGACTTGATGGAGGCCACCACCCCGACCCAGCCCCGCCCCCACCTGCCGGGGCCCCACTCACAGCTGCCCGTTCTTCTCCGTGTAGAAGCGCACGGACTTGATGGTGGCCACCACCACGACCATGCACAGCGTGACGGGCACGAAGAGCATGATCACGTGCTTCGCCCCGTACTTGAGGGTCAGCTCCTCCTCCAGGCCCGGCAGCCGCCCGGGGACCCCACTGCAGACGTAGCGGTCAGGGTCTTCCTCCTGGTCCTCCTCGCGGCCCTGGCTTCTCTGTGGGAAGCACACGGTCAGGGCCACGGAGGCCCCGGGGCGGCCTGCCACGCGGCGCGGGTGTGGAAGAGGAAAGGAGGGTGACTGCTGCTTCCAGACACGAGGCCGTCTCAGGCCGCAGTGCAGGTGAGGGAGCTGGGACAGCCAGCCCCTCTGAGGAGCGTAGGAGGGCAGCTAGAGCCAGAGCCGGCACTGACCACCGCAGATGGCAGGTGAGGGAGCTGGGACAGCCAGCTCCTCTGAGGAGCGTAGGACAGCTAGAGCCAGAGCCGGCACTGACCACCGCAGATGGCAGGTGAGGGAGCTGGGACAGCCAGCCCCTCTGAGGAGTGTAGGACAGCTAGAGCCAGAGCCGGCACTGACCACCGCAGATGGCAGGTGAGGGAGCTGGGACAGCCAGCCCCTCTGAGGAGCGTAGGACAGCTAGAGCCAGAGCCGGCACTGACCACCGCAGATGGCAGGTGAGGGAGCTGGGACAGCCAGCCCCTCTGAGGAGCGTAGGGCAGCTAGAGCCAGAGCCGGCACTGACCACCGCAGATGGCAGGTGAGGGAGCTGGGACAGCCAGCCCCTCTGAGGAGTGTAGGAGGGCAGCTAGAGCCAGAGCCGGCACTGACCACCGCAGATGCGGGCGGGCCGCGGCAGCCAGAGGAGGTGGTCTCAGGCCGCGGCCGCATGGCTGCTGGTGGAGCCCGTCTACAGAGCTCGCCCCACTCAGCACGGGCACAGGGCGCCCCTCATGCTGCTCACGTGGCCACACTGACGCGGCACAGTCAGGCCAGGTGACAGGAAAACAGAGCAAACTTTTTTTTTTTTAAGTTTTGCTTTTCTTTTTTTCTTTTTCTTTTTGGTTAATCCTCACCTGCGGATATTTTCCCATTGGGTTTGAGAGAGAATGGAAGGGAGGGGGAGAGACAGAAACATCGATGTGAAGGATACACATCTATTGGCTGCCTCCCAGAAGCACCCCGACCGGGCCCGGGATCGAGCCTGTAACCGAGGTACGCGCCCCTGACTGGAATCGAACCCAGGACCCTTCAATCTTGGGGCCGAAGCTCTATCCACTGAGCCAAACCGGCTAGGTCGAGCAAACCTTTTAGGTTCACAAATCACAAACTAGAATGGCCAGCACACACAGGGACGGACTTTCTTTGGTTATAAATAAGACACTGGGAATTTGCAGAGGAATAAATTACTTTGAATGTTTGTGCCTCAAAGCCAAGCATGCAAATCTGCAGCTGAGCCAGAGTGGCGTCTGGGAGGTCCGGGCCGAAGGGACGCTGGGAAGAGGAAATGAGCGAGCAGCGAAGGAGCGGGCAGGGCGCCTGCCAGACGCAGGCACAAATGAGCCACAGAATTTCTGCTCTGGAACTGTGGCAATTCAGCGTCATCAGCGGCTCTGGTAGTTGCAGTAACAGCCAACGCCAAAGCCAAATGAAACAAAACTAAAAAATGACTATTGCTTCGGTAGGTGCTTTGCAGGGATTCCAACCTAGATCCTCAGCTGAGAACAGAAGAAACTGTTCATGAACAGGAAGTGAAGCAACTAAAATGCACAAGAACTCCAGGCGCTGAGACGGAGACTCGCAAGGGCAGGCTAAGGAGTGCTGTGCGGTGGCCGTGGTCTTGCACGACGTGGAGCACAGGGCGTCAGAAACGAGCAAGGGGATCGGGCTGGGAGAAACACTCCGCCGGAAGCTGTTTAAATACCACAATGGGCCACACCAAGCACGAGGCTGCTTTTCCCTGAGGGGAGGGGTGGCTTGGCTAGTGCCTCTCCAAGAACACCCCCCACTTCCTGACCTTATAACCTCCTGCCCTGCGGGCTGCAGAGGTCACATCACAGCGCAGCCCCCTTCCGGCCATGAACTGACTGTCCCTCCAATCTCCCGTGTTGAAGCCTCCTCCCCAGTGTGACCGAGTCAGGACACGGGGCCTCTGGGAGGGGATGCGTCATGAGAGCGGGGCGGGTGAGCATCAGGGCCTTTATAAAGGGACCACAGAGACCCTCCCCTCCCGCCACGAGGACAAGGCTGCCTGGGAGCCGGAAGTGGGCCTCTCCAGACACCACATCTGCTGGCACCGCTGCTGGGCTTCCAGTCTCCAGAGCACTGAGGATTAAATCCGTGTCTGCGATAGTTCTGTGACAGCAGCTGGACTGGAGGGAGACACAGCCCCAGCTCAAAGCCGAACATGACGCAGGTACAGCCATCGCTGGGTCACCATGGCTGCCATCTGCCAAAAAGGCTCCCCTCGGCCGTCCCTGACCTGTGACCTGTCCCGCATCCACACTCACCCGCGGTTCCTCACTAGGCAGGGGAGGGCAGGGCAGGGCTGGGGCAGACTCGCTCGGGCCACTGCAGTCCACGTCCGGCCGGCACGTGCGGTCGCTCTAAAGCCCTCACCGCTGAGCTGTGCCACGGCAACCACACCGCCTGCCAGTCCTCACCGTCACTCTCCCTCCTCCCGCACGGAACGTCTGGCTGGGCATGTGCAGTCGCTCTAAAGCCCTCACGCTGAGCTGTGCCACGGCAACCACACCGCCTGCCAGTCCTCACCGTCACTCTCCCTCCTCCCGCACGGAACGTCCGGCTGGGCATGTGCGGTCATTCTAAAGCCCTCACCGCTGAGATGTGCCACGGCAACCACACCGCCTGCCAGTCCTCACCGTCACTCTCCCTCCTCCCGCACCGGAACGTCCGGCTTCCATCCACAGGCACAGGGACCCAGGGGCCTGTTTCGAGGCCTCCACCCGCTGGCGGGAACCTACCCACTGGGCCGCATCCTCTCCGTCCTCGGGGCCCTGCCTGCCTTCCTGGCAGGAGCGAGGCACGGGGCTCTCGGCTGACATCAGGGACGTCCGCTCGTTGCACGCGTCTTCCTCGCTGTCAGAGGCCATGAACGTGAGCATGGCCCTGCCTGTAGACGTGCCTGGGAAAGCAAACACAGGAGACCTCATTCCCCTCCCCTGAGGCCACGGAGGTGGGGGACAGAGAGGGCCAGCGGCTCTAAGACCTGGACACAGGCCCTGCTTGCAGCAACCCCGACGCCGTGTGCAATGACCGCTGTACAGCAAGTCCCACAGCCACCAGGAGGCTGCGCGCCGAGGGACGGCCTCCGGAGACCAGGCCACAGGGGCAGGCGCCCGTGGGAAGTCAGGCCACTCCCCCGTCAGCACGCTCATCCCTTCCAGCCACATCACCTGCTGAGCGCCGACAGCGTGCCAGCGACTGTGCTGGGCTCTGGGGTACAAAGATGAGTAAATGACACCTTTTATCCGTAAGAACACAAACAAAAAGCCACCCAGTGTGACCAGGGTTATGATGCAGATGTTCCCACATGGTGCAGAAGCATCTAGAGAGAAGGGACTAAACCTGAGACCAGGAATGTTTTCTAGAGAAGACGACAGGGTCTGACGGACACAGCCTTTTCCAGGTGGGAGGGAAGGGCATGAAGAAAGCTCGGGGCCCGGGCTGACGGGTGGGGGCACCCGGGGAGGCATGAGGGTCTCCCGTACTCCCCCTCCCCCAAGGGCAGCGTGACAGGCAGACCAGCTCGGTGTTTGGGAGTGTCAGTCCGGCCACTGCCTGGATAAGGAGGAGGGAAGGGGCTCCCGTGAAGGCGTCAGCAGTGGATGCACGTGAGGGGACAGGACCAGGAGGGTCAGGATGAAAGCAGACAGGACCGGATGTGGGCAAACCAGAGGAGAGAGTCAGGGTGGGCCCGGCATGGAGGAAGACAGGGAGGGGGATTGTCTCAGGAGAAGATGGAATTCGGTCCAGGAGCCTGAGTGTCTGTGGGTTAAAAGGCAGAGGCATCTAAGAGGGGGCTGAGTGCCTGGGTCTGGGCGCCGGGAGGCAGATGAGAGTCATGAGTTAGAAGTGAGACCATGTGGGGTGAGCATGCGTATATGTGTGCGTGTGTGTGTGTGTGTGCGCGCGTGCACGTGTATGGTGGGAAAGTACAGCTGAGGCAGGACCCATGGGAAGGCTCAGGAAGAAGGGACTACACAAGACAGAGGCCTGTCCCCAACATGTGCTGTCCTGAGCGGTGTGTATACACGACAGCACCACACAGAAGCCAGTGCAGCCCAAAGGGGCGGGGAAAACGTCAGAGAACCCCTGATGGATCTGACTGTCCCCACCGACATCGCCACCAGGGCCAGCTCTCCCCATCGCCGCCTCCCGGAAGCCCTCCAGGCTGAGCTGCCACCAGGGCCAGCTCTCCCCATTGCCACCTCCCGGAAGCCCTCCAGGCTGAGCTGCCACCAGGGCCAGCTCTCCCCATTGCCACCTCCCAGAAGCCCTCCAGGCTGAGCTGCCACCAGGGCCAGCTCTCCCCATCGCCGCCTCCTGGAAGCCCTCCAGGCTGAGCTGCCACCAGGGCCAGCTCTCCTCATCGCTGCCTCCCAGAAGCCCTCCAGGCTGAGCTGCCACCAGGGCCAGCTCTCCCCATCGCCGCCTCCTGGAAGCCCTCCAGGCTGAGCTGCCACCAGGGCCAGCTCTCCCCATCGCCGCCTCCTGGAAGCCCTCCAGGCTGAGCTGCCACCGGGGCCAGCTCTCCCCATCGCCGCCTCCCGGAAGCCCTCCGGGCTGAGCTCCATGCCACTGGGCTCAGGCAGCCAGGTCTGCCTGCTGCTGAAGGTTTGTCTCCAAGTCGGTCACCCCCATAATTTATCATTTTGAGGCCAGCAGGGTCTTCGCGGCAGGGTCTGTGGCTGCACTCAGGGCTGTGGTCTGGATTATGCCTGCGTGACTTCAATTCCCTCCCGATTAATAAGCACATGGCAGCGCCTACCTCTGGCCACCTCGCCGCCTTGCGCTCCTTACACAGAACTCAGCGCAGGAAGCAGCGAGATGGCCGCGGGAGGGAGCCGAGGACCCTGCACTTCCGGCATTCAGATCCGGGGGACAGTCTACCCGCTGTGGGGTTAGATGTCTAGGTCTGAAGGAGTAAGAGGGATGAGAAACGGTCAGGCAAGGAATGGCTTGCAGATGGCAGGAGGTGGGACAGCCTGGGAAGAAGTAATCTCCTGACTGTGTGTGTGTGCGGGGGGGGGGGGGGGGGGGGGGGGCTATCAGCCTATGAAACAGAAGGCCACGGTTTGCTTCCTGGTCAGGGCACTGCCTGGGCTACAGGCTTGATCCCAGTGGGGAGTGTGCAGGAAGCAGCCAATCAATGATTCTCCCTCATCAGTGATGTTTCTATCTCTCCCTCTCCCTTCCTCTCTGAAATCAATAAAAATATATAAATGTGTGGGAGGGGGGACCTAACAGGGCCGATTCTGACGAGCTGAAGTGGCTGAAGCGAGGGGATCAGGGAGACTATGGTGGAAGGTGAGGCAGGAGAGGGGGGAGGTGAGGGAAGAGAGGGGGGAGAGGGGGGAGGTGAGGGAGGAGAGGGGGGAGGTGAGGGAGGAGAGGGGGGAGGTGAGGGAAGAGAGGGGGGAGAGGGGGGAGTGAGGGAGGAGAGAGGGGAGGTGAGGTAGGAGGGGGGAGGAAGAGAGGGGGAGAGAGGGGGAGGAGAGAGGGGGAGGTGAGGGAGGAGAGGGGGGAGGTGAGGGAGGAGAGGGGGGAGGAGAGGGGGGAGAGGGGGGAGGTGAGGGAGGAGAGGGGGGAGGTGAGGCAGGAGAGGGGGGAGGTGAGGGAGGAGAGGGGGGAGGTGAGGGAGGAGAGGGGGGAGGTGAGGCAGGAGAGGGGGGAGGTGAGGGAGGAGAGGGGGGAGGCAGGAGAGGGGGGGAGGTGAGGGAGGAGAGGGGGGAGAGGGGGGAGGTGAGGGAGGAGAGGGGGGAGGTGAGGCAGGAGAGGGGGGAGGTGAGGGAGGAGAGGGGGGAGGTGGAGGGAGGAGAGGGGGAGGTGAGGGAGGAGGGGGGGAGGTGAGGAGGAGGGGGGGAGGTGAAGGAGGAGAGGGGGGAGGCAGGAGAGGGGGGAGGTGAGCGGATGAGCGTCATGAAAGCAGGAGGCAAGCGGAGCAGCATTCTCAGGGGGCGTGTGGGCCTCCCCTGCTCCACAGGATCCCCTAGAACCGTGGTCGGCAAACCGCAGCTCGCAAGCCACATGCGGCTCTTGGGCCCTTGAGTGTGGCTCTTCCACAAAATACCCAAGAGCCACACTCAAGGGGCCAAAGAGTTGCATGTGGCTCGCGAGCCGCAGTTTGCCAACCACTGACCTAAAACTAGGATCTGCCCCCTGGTGGCAGCTCCTGGACCAGCAGAGTCTAGTCAAGGCCCAGTGTGGGGACACACTTTGTAGCCCCGACACACAGAGAGCTGGACTCCCTTCACCTAATGGAGGTCCGGAACTCAAAGTCCTCCTCTCTGAAGCTCAGTCTTTGGGGGAAAACCTAAACAAACACCTGCCTGGACCCACAGCTCCTCGCTGCCCTCTGGCCTCGGTGAATTCTTTCTACCCACGAGGGGGCCTGAAACCCAGGCATGGCTGGATTTTCTTAAAACCACGTGGCCCTGAGTCTCAGCATTCCCCCCGGAGCAGCCCAGACAGATGCGCAACTCCGGGGGCTCCAACACCCTGTTCCCCGCGCCCCAGTGTGGTCTGGGGTGTGGAGCAATGTAGTCACAACCTCCCTCCCCGTTCTTCCCAGGCCTCTGGGGCCGGTGCTATCAGGGCCTGGAGGAGTGGTCGGGAGGCCCTGCATCTGAGAAGTGATGGGTTCAACGTTACCCGGGACCTGGTCCCAGCTCTTAACCTGGATGCCAGGCTGCTCCCCAAGGGCCCGCACTCTGAGGGAGCCCCGCGTGGTTCCCAGGCCGGTGTCAGACCTGCTCCGGGCTGCCCTGCCCGGGAATCAGACGCCCATTGAGTTGTGGGCCCAGCTCACAACTGCAAGTGTCGGCCACAGTCCACCTTCCCTCCTCCCTCTCCTCCCTCATCTCTGACCTCTCCTCCCTCCCACCTCTCCTCCCTCACCTCTGACCTCCTCCCTCTGCCTCACCCACCCACCCTGGCACCCCCACTGCTCCGTGCCTGATAATGGGGGCGTGGCAGAAGGAACAGCCCTTTCTCTGGAACACCCTGCGTCTGGTGGGAGCAGGGCAGGCAGGGGAGCAGCTTTCAGACCAGGGAAGCTGCAGGGCTAGGAGAGTGCGAGGCTGGGACGGTCCCCAGGCCCTGCCCACCGTGGAGGAGCGTGTGGGAAACCGGGGCTCCAACACCCCACTACACACTGGACCACCTTTCTTTCTTTTTAAAAAAAATGTTTTTATTGATTTTAGAGGGAGAGGGAGGGAGAGGGAGAGGAACATGGACAGGCCACTTCCTTTACGCCCCCTCCTGGGGAGAGCGCCTGACGGGGCATCGAACCCGTGACTTCTTGGTGCATGGAATGGCGTTCAGCCAACTGAGCCACCCAGGCCAGGGCCGGACCCGCCTTCCTGGAGGCAGTAAAACTTTCCAAAAGTTTTAAAAATTCATACCTTTTGATCCTGAAATGCTACTTCTTGGAATTTGTCCTAAGAAAATAATAAAAGATTTACATAAAAATCTGTGTGTCGCATTTATTTATAATTATTACAAAAAGTGAAAATGACGGAACTGCCTCTGTCCTATGGTTTATCCATCTGAGAGGGTTTATGATGGGAACAGTAAGAAACGTATTTCAGAGAATATTCAATAACATGACAAAGCACAACCGGCTGTTACACGTAATGAATATATAACTTCCACACACAGTCACCTGAATTTTCTTTAAAAATGTATATATATAAGGCCTGCCCCCCCAAAATCACAAAACATTAAAGGAGGTTATCTTTGGATGGTGAGATTGTGGGTGAATTTTACTTAATGTTTTTCTGCATTTCTAAAGCTTCTATAATAAACGTGGATTGCATTTGTAGGGCTGTTTCTAAAGCTCTTAACTTTTTAATGGGAGATAATGAGCATCAACATAGACTGTCTTCTTCTCCCCCTGCCCCGGGCGGCACTCTCCCCCTGGGCGGCACCCCCCCCCCCCCCGCCCCCCCCCCCGCCCCGCCCCGGGCAGCACCCTCCCCCTGGGCGGCGGGCAGTGGGCTCAGGAAGCCGCTCTCCGTCCTCTGCAGCCCTCTGCTCCCGGCTCCGAGGACAGAGCCGCTGGGAGGCACTCCCTGTGCTTCTCGGTGGGAACGGCCTACCGGTCCCTGAAATCCTCGGAGGGAAAAGTCGCCACCCAAACCTGCAGATAAACAACCTTGTCGCGCATGCCTGTCCACCCAGCAGCAGCGCGAGGTCCCCATGGAGGCTGACTCACGGGCAGGTGGGGGTGGGTGACTCTCCTACCACTGGTGTCAAACCCTGTCACCCACATAGCAACCAGCGCTCCGTTCTCTGGGGGAGCGCGGACGGTGCAGGGGGGCCGACGGGTGGGGCAGGGGTGTGCTGTGCGGAGACTGTGTTTGTTGTTCTGGAAACTGAAAGCTGCCTGGGATGAGGGGCAAAATCAAACACGCAAACAGCCACCGCCCCCCATCCATCAGCTGAAAGGGACAGAAACGCTGAAGCAGCCGAACCAGGGGGCTCTGACCCAGAGAATCTCTCCAACGCGCTCCGGTCAGCAGGTCCCGCAACCATCACGGAAACCCGGTGACCCCGTTCCTCCGACCTTCTTTCCATTTCGGGGAAATGTACATGTTTTGACCTTAAAATTTAAGGCCAGTGGACCTCGGTAGGAAACAGATTCTAAAATGCCACCGTAAACACCGGTGCCTCATGGGAAAAGATGGAAACTAGCCCCAGAGCAATCTGGGAGTTACTGCCCTTCCCACAAACACTCAGGGCTGCAGAGAAAGGGCTGGGCCCCGACACATCATTGGTCTTTGTTTGTTTGCTTGTGTGCAGGCCTAGCAGAATAGGCACTCTCCAGGGCCACACCTCTCAGGGCTCCCATGACTGCTGGGGAGTTCCCAGTCTCCCCTTATATGGGGAAAGGGTTTGCTAAGGGGAGGAAATCCCCCTAGAATTTTCCTTAGAAATGTCTACAGCTTCCCTGCCTTCTGTGTCCCCAGCCCCGGGCATCTGTCCATGTATTTGGCCCTGGATGACATTCATCCACCTCAGCCTGTCCCGTGATGGACATCACCTGCTGGGGAGGAGGCTCTGCCACATACTCCCCGGCTGCAAGGCCTCGGGCCATTTACTTAACATCCCGTGGCCCATTTCCTCTGCTGGAAAAAGCGAAATACGCACACCTCGCAAGAGGACTGTAAAGACTAGAGATGATGTGTAAAGCACTTGGCACATAGTAGGTGTTCAATAAATGGTGGCTATAATGATGAAACAGAGGCAGGGACACAGAAGGGACAATGGAAGCCGGCTGATGCCCCTCTTGGGAGGGTCCCAGCCAACATGAACACTTGTCAAACAAAAGGGCACGTCCAAAGGACTATGTCAGAGCCAGCAAGGCCCTCAAAGGCCATCGAGTCAGTGCCCTGTTTTACAGAAGCCCAGAGGACAAAAGCACATCCCAAGGCCAAAAGCCCAGTTACAGTTCAGGTCCCCAACTGCCAGTTGAGGAGCTCATCCCTGCCCCTACCTGTGAGGGGCACATACGGGGCGGGCCAGGGCCACGGTCACAGGGCGGCCCACACAGCACACGGCGTGGGCTCTCCGCGTACACACCCACACTGACAAGGCCCGGGCCTTCTCCACGGGCAGGTGTGTGTCTTGTCTTTAACACACAGCTTCTCCGAACACGGACAAGAGGTCAGTGAATTACAAAGACTCACCAGATCACCTGCCACCTTACAAACTCGAGTCTCTCTCCTGACCCCCGCCTCACAAGCCCTCTTCTCTTAGTGCTCCACATGGGGCAGAGGGGGTGGTAGCGCCAACATGGGCATGGCACAGGGATGGGGAGTGACCACATGTGGGCAGGGGGCATAGGGCAAGGCACTGCTTCTCTGGGGCAATCAAAAGGGAGGGTTGGAAAGGGTCTGCTCTGGCACTGGTGAGATAAATGATGTCTACACACCAGTCAAATCCAGTTTCCTAAGAATACTCAACACAGGGAGAATTCTGAAGGCATAACATTAGCAGGAAGAATAGGACACACAGCTTCCTCTTGTTTCCTACCTCTAATATTTCAGCAGGTGACTAGATACGGACGTGCATGAACTGCTAGAAGGCAACGCATGTGGACAGTTGTCATCACTGGACTGAGGGCTAACGGGCTTTTAAAAAATATTGCCTGAATTTTCTAGAATGCAACACATGCTACTTTTATGTTTAAAAAGTCAGCGGGAATGCCGAAACCGGTTTGGGTCAGTGGATAGAGCGTCGGCCTGCGGACTGAAGGGTCCCGGGTTCGATTCCGGTCAAGGGCATGTACCTTGGTTGCGGGCACATCCCCAGTAGGGGGTGTGTGCAGGAGGCAACTGATCCATGTTTCTCTCTCATCGATGTTTCTAACTCTCTATCTCTCTCCCTTCCTCTCTGTAAAAAATCAATAAAATATATTTAAAAAGATAATAATAATAAAAAATAAAAAGTCAGCGGAAAGGTGAGCACCCTTTCAATTTCTCTTCCATGTTCCGGAAGACTATGTTGGCAAAGACGACTGAGCAACCCATTCTCCCAGGCAATGAAGAGGCTGGGAAATCGACCTCCCTGCCGGACATCCGGTCTTGACTAAGGTCTGATTTGAAATTCCTCTCTTCCTCAGATTTTAACCAGGCACCCTGACCACTTCCAGGCCTGGAGGCCAACACGGATGACATAAGGCCTGAGCCCAGGCCAGCCCGGCCAGCCCAAGGTGAGAACCACCTCGGGGCCCTGGCGGCTGGCAGGCGTGCCAGCCTGGAGCCCTCACATTCCTCCTCCAGCCCCTCCGCAGCTGCTGGGGTCAGAGAACAGGTGGAAATGCTTGCAAAGATTTGTGTCCTAAAGTCAGAGCACCAGCTGAGCACCCGCCAGAGATGTCTTTACAAGAAACACACGTGGCTTTGGTTTCTTTTTCTAAAGTGTGTGTGTGTGTGTGTGTATATATGTACATATATTTAAATATATTTTTATTGATTTCAGAGAGGAAGGGAGAGAGAGTGATAGAAACATCTATGATGAGAATCATTGATTGGCTGCCTCCTGCACGCCCCACTGGGGATGGAGCCTGCAACCTGGGTGTGTGCCCTTCACTGGATTCAAACCCAGGACTCTTCTGTGCACAGGCCGACGCTATATCCACTGAGCCAAAGCAGCCAGGGATATATATATATATATATATAGATATATATATATATATATATATTTTTTTTTAAATTTATTTTTTGCTTTGTCAGGTAGTCGGGAGACCACACAGACATTTCCTGGCAGCAGTGCAGGGACGCGGGTGGGGGTGAATGTGGGAAACCTCTTTCGCAAAAACTCAAAAGATTAAGAAGACAGCTGGCTGGGATCAAATCCCAGCGCTCTGTCACGAAGCCACATCGCAGGAAACGTGGCTTAGCTCTCTGAATCTCGGTTTCCCCTCCCGGAGGAGGGTGATATCATCGCTACTGTAGTATGTATGGTCAGAGCTCTTAAGGCAGCGGTTCTCAACCTGTGGGTTGCGACCCCTTTGGGGGTCGAACGACCCTTTCACAGGGGTCGCCTAAGACCATTGGAAAACACACATATAATTACATATTGTTTTTGTGATTAATCACTATGCTTTCATTATGTTCAATTTGTAACAATGAAATTGAGGGTCAACACCACATGAGGAACTGTATTAAAGGGTCGCGGCATTAGGAAGGTTGAGAACCACTGTCTTAAGGTAATTGTGAACTACTGTACAAAACGGCTTTCCATGGACTAGGACAGTGATGGCGAACCTTTTGAGCTCGGCGTGTCAGCATTTTGAAAAACCCTAACTTAACTCTGGTGCCGTGTCACATATAGAAATTTTTTGATATTTGCAACCATAGTAAAACAAAGACTTATATTTTTGATATTTATTTTATGTATTTAAATGCCATTTAACAAAGAAAAATCAACCAAAAAAATGAGTTCGCGTGTCACCTCTGACACGCGTGTCACAGGTTTGCCATCACTGGACTAGGACTAACTCATAAAAGTATGTTATGTCATGATCATCATCAATAACCTGGAGAGACAGATGCCAAGATAGGTAGGGAACTCGTATTTGGCAAACCCTGTTTGCACAGGGGCACGGCGAGCAGGGCACGGCCACAGGCATGACACCTGCCCTGGGCCTCCAGGCACATCTGAGCGGCAGCCTTGCTCGTCCTTGACCTCCACTTTCTCAAATAGGAACACTCATCCCCATACACACACTCCAGGCCTGCACAGGTACTTCAACCCCAAACGATACAGAATGTTCCTGAAAACCAGAAACGATCTCCACTCCACTCGGTACCAACAGTCCTCCAACACCCGCCCTCCCTCCTGAGAGCCCCTCACCTACGCAACACGTGAACCTGGGCAGCCTGCCCGCCTGAGGCCGCAGCTCTGAGCTGGAGCCAGGATCCCCGCCCCTTCACCAGCTGGGCCCCCAAAACACAGCTGCTGACACGTTTCCCCACTCGCACTCAGCCCCATTCTCACAGCCGGGAACCTGAGGCTCACGCACCTGCAGCCGCTTATCCAGAGCCTAATTCCTGCCAAAGGTCTTGGCTGAAGGCCCTGGAGGCTCAGGTGTCTGCAGGAGGAGCTGTGCACACAGGTGTCTGCAGGAGGAGCTGTGCACTCAGCAGGGGCATCCGTGCGGGCAGCACGCAGACTCGGCAGCCCAGGGTGTCAACTTGGGGTGAAGTTGGCTCTGCAGTTGTTCCGGTGGGCGCTCCCAGGCTGCCCGTCTGCTCGGGGGATGCAGTGAGCCCCCAACCACAGTGCACCCCTTCACCGGGGAATACTCGAGAAGTCAGCAGACAGGAGCCTTCCATCCAACGGCCCAAGGGCGGAGCTGGCCCACGGGCTGGGCAGCAGGACTCGAGGCCAGGACGGAGCCTGGCTGTGCTGTCTCCTACCTGGGCGACCTCGGACAAAGTCACTTCAGCTCTGTGGGCTGGAGACTAGCTACTGCCCCAGGCTCCTTCAGCTGCAAATGCTGGGTTCTGGGCGCCTCCCACAGCTCTAAGTGCCGATAAAACAGCCCAACACCCGGGCACCACATCGCCGGCTCCGGGCCGCGACCGCGTCCAGCTGCTCACACGCCCAGACAGACCCGTCTCCCCTCCCGTCTCCCTCCCGCCCCTGCAACGCAGGACCAGCGCCGGTGCCACGGCCGGAGGGAGGAACAAATGCCCCGTCCACACGCCCACGTGCACGGCCCCTTTAAATGCTCTGGCCCCTGAACAGCTCGCCTCGCGCCCAGCTCAGCGGGGGTCGGCGGCGGAGCAGACCCCGCCCGGGTGAAGGCCCCAGGCCTGGGGGCCACGCCCCGCGCCCCTTTCGCCCGCGAGTTCCGGGCCGGCCCCCGCGGTGGCTGTCCCGGCGCCCTGCCCTCCGCCGCCCCCGCGCTGGCCGCAGAGGCCCGGACCGCGGCGCGCGCAGCGTCCGCAGCCCCGGAACTGGCGAGGCACCGCGAGCGGCCGCAGCGAGGGGCGCGCGGAGGGCAGGGCTCGGCCCGCGGGTCGCGGCTCCACCCGGGGCCCCTAGGCCGCGGAGGACAGGGCTTCGTCCGCTAGCCCCGGCCCCGCCTGCCCGCCCGCCCGCCGGCTCACCTGCTCCGCCGCGGCGCTCCGACCGGCAGTGTTGACGCGGCTGGCTGTGCGCCCGGCGAGACCCGGCGGCGGCCAGACCCCGCCCCTCCTGCCCCTCCCAGATACCGCCTCCCGGCTCAGACCCCGCCCCTCCCCGCTGTCAGACCCCGCCTCCCGGCCCAGGCCCTGCCCCGCTCCCCGCGCAGACCTCGCCCCGGCCCCGCTCAGACCCCGCCCCCCGCTCAGGCACCGCCCCCCGCGCCGGCACCGCCCCCGGCGCAGACTCCGTCCGGGTCTCGGCCTAGCCCCCGTCCCTGCCCCGCCCTGGCAAGACCCCGCCTCCCGGCTCAGACCCCGCCCCCAGCGCAGGCACCGCCCCCGGCGTAGCCCCCGTCCCTGCCCCGTCCCGGCAAGACTCCGCCCCTGGCCCAGCGCAGACCCCGCCCCTCCCAGCGCAGACCCCGCCTCCCGGCTCAGGCCTTGCCCCGCCCCCCGCGCCGGCACCGACCCCGGTGCAGACCCCGTCCCTGCCCGGCCCTGGAAAGACCCTGCCTCCCGGCTCAGACCCCGCCCCCAGCGCAGGCACCGCCCCCGGCACAGGCACCGCCCCCGGTACAGGCACCGCCCCCGGCGTAGTCCCCGTCCCTGCCCCGCCCTGGCAAGACTCCGCCCCTGGCCCAGCGCAGACCCCGCCCCGTCGGTGACGCCACGTTCCAAGCCCGAGCCCGGCCCAGCCCGGAGCTGGTGCGCGCAGGGGTCTGGCCTGCTCGCCGCCGCCGCGGAAGGTCGCGGTAACCCTGACACTGGACGGGGCGCGGACCTTACACCGCGCGGAGCCGGGCCTGCATTCTAACGCGCCCTGGAGGCGCCGTGGGCGGCAGTGCGTTTCAGGTCCCCGGTCCTACCTTTTCCGGATACTTTTTTAAAGCCAGAACGGAAGGCATAGTGAATGGACCTGTTTGGGGTCTCAATTACATGTGCTTTAGTTCTATGGGTCTCATTTCAGTGGTGGGTGCACACGTGGCAACGGAGATCCCCGCAGACAGAGTGTTCCCCCAGGTGCAGGGCCATGCGGGGCCGAGGGAGCGTGGGTCTGCGTGTGACCCGAGGCAGCACCGCCTCTTACACGGTCCGGTCTGAGTGGCAGGAGCCGGGCTGTGGCTGCGGGATTGTTGACGAGCTCCTTCCCCTCGTGGTTCCCCTTTGAGATCGTCAGGCTCAGCTGCTGTTCACGTGCTGGTCTGCGAGGGCTGAGCAAGCTCTTAGCCTGGCTGGCCCTGACCTCGGGTTGGGAGGGCATGGCCTCTGCTTCAGGCTTTGGTGTCTGGGGGGGGGGGGGAGATTGTGTTTTCTTTTGACACATTTTAGGGACCGAACACTGCGGGGTGGACAGTGTGGGGCAGTGGGAACCACATGACTGAGAACCAGATGCGCGGGGGTTTGCAGTCCATCGCTCCCCCTTGTTTGCTGCATGACTCGGGGCAATGACTTCGCCTCGCTGGGCCTGGGTTCCTCATCTTTGAAGAGACAGTGATATTCCTCGGAGGATCCCGGAGAGGGTTCAAGGCGAAATAAGGCTGAAAGCGACAGGAGCACAGCTCGACCCTTGTCAGTTGTCTTCCTTGCTCGGCCTCTCACCAGCATTTGAGGGGGGCTTTGGTTGCGTGGCGTTGAAATGACAGCCTGTTACTGTCCACAAACTTGCTGCACTTCTCACTTCGGTTGCATCATCCCTTTCTGTCCTGGGGAGCACAGGACTGGCCCTGTGACTGGCCAGGTCGGGAGAGGAGCTGCATGCAGCCAAGCTCCAGATGGCGGCTGCTCCCCGCACTGGGTCGGGCCCACCTGGGAAGGGCGTGTCACTGGAGCAATAAATACCAGCCAGCCTTCCTGGGTTCAAGCCACTTGTCACTGTAGCACCGCCCAGCCTGATCCGACCCATGCATTTGACTGACAGCATCTTACAATCTCCATGCAATATTTTTCTTTTTAAACTTTCCTAAAAAGGAGTATTTACTGCATTTATGTTTTTGGTGGTGGGTACTTTATAAATAACTAGTTCTTTTTTCTTGTGCAGTTTGCATGCTGTGTAGAACATACAGACATACAGAAAAATGAAAATGTTCATGGGTAACTGTTCTCTATTTGAAGGAAAGAAAAATTGCCCACGAACATTTTCATTTTTGTCTGTCCTTTTTTCTAGTGTTTCTTTTGGTGGTTTTCTTAAATGAGAATTTGGGAGACATTTTGGCAGTTGGAAGCGTTGCTTGTCGTGAACAGGAGACGGATAGGAGCTTAGATGAGCATTAATAACATCAGGCCTTTTCCACAGTGCGCCATGGGGTGCATCTGGCGCGGTTTCTGTGTCTCCCGTCTGGGCCAAGCAGAGCCACATTCCATGACATTCTGTGTCCGAAATATCTCACAGTAGGGTTTCAGGACAGAGCCAGTCTTCCAGGCACGAAACCCAGCCATGGGCACTGGTGACAGAGCAGCGGATACTCCCCGTCATGGGTGACACTATGGGCAAGGGGGTGCTTGAAGGACACCCGGAAACAGCCCTGCCCTTGCTAGGACTTTGCCATACGTCTAGAAATGGCCAGCAATTGCCTGAAGGATGCTGGTCAGTTCACCTAATGGCATCGCCGTTACAGCATTTTCTCTATGTGACAGCTAGGGTGGCCTTGGGGGGGGGGGGGGTTGACATGAGTTTAAGGAGTTTTTGTGATGTCTGCTCTTACCGTTGCAATAATTGAAGCCAGCAGTTCTCAAGCTTTTTGGTTTCACTACTCCTTTACAGTCTTAAAACTGAAGACTTAAAACGGAAGGAGATTTTGTTTATGTGGATTATATCTATAAACATTTACCATATTAGAAATTAAACTACGAAATTTAAAATATTAATTTATTCAAAAGTATTCACAACCAATGACATGCTAACATAACATTTTATAAAGAACTACAATTTTTTGTTGTTGTTTTTCTCTGCCCTTGACCGGAATCGAACCCGGGACCGTTCAGTCCACAAGCCAACACTCTATCCATTGAGCCAAACCGGCTAGGGCACAAAGAACTACATTTTACAAAAAATAATTTAGTGAGACAAGTAGAACCGTTTCATATTTGTGGTAGGCAGAATAATGGCCCCAAAGATGTCCATATCTTATTCCCTAGAACCGGTGAATATGTTACTTTAAATGGTAAAAGGGACTTTGAATGGCTTTTACTCCTGCATGCTTTTGTAACATCATGTATTGACCATTTAGGAAAACATTGGTTCATTGACTTATGATGATCACCCAAAGGTTGACACATTTTCATTATCCAATAGAAAGAATACACCAGCATTTGTAAAAGTCACCGCCAATCACATCTGAAAAATCTTTAAACATTGGGAAGCTATTAAACTCACCATGGCAGATACAAATATTCTAGAATTCTCGTTTTCACTCAAAAGCCCAAATTATTGTCATTAGCAACAAATACCACCCGTTGTTTCCCTTGAAAGGGCAAGCTCGCTTTGTGTAGATAAGTAGATAAAAAGCTGTGGTACATTTACACCACGGAATACTATGCAGCAGTAAAAAAGAAGGATCTCTTACCCTTTGAAACAGCATGGAGGGACTGAAGAGTATATCATGCTAAGTGACATAAGCCAGTCAGAGAAAGACAAGTACCACATGAATTCACTCATATGTGGAATCTAATGAACAAAATAGATCCAGAGCCCTGGCTGGTTTGGCTCAGTGGATAGAGCGTCCGTCTGTGGGCTGAAGGGTCCCGGGTTCGATTCTGGTCAAGGGCACATGCCTGGGTTGTGGGCTTGATCCCCACTGCAGGGCATGCAGGAGGCAGCCGATCGGTGACTCTCTCTCATCATTGATGTTTCTTTCTCTCTCTTCCTTTCTGAAATCAATAAAAAAGTATATTTTAAAAAAAAGATCCAGAGACATAGAAGTGTGGAACGTACTGTGGCATCTCAGAGGGACGGTGGGGGTGGGTGGGTGGGAAGAGATTAATCAAGACCTTGCATGCATATATGCATAAGCCACGGACACAGACAATAGTGTGGTGAAGGCCTGGGGCAGGGGCAGGGTGGCTAGAAGGGGGCGGTGGGGGGAAACGGGGACATACGTAACACTTTCAACAACAGAGATTTTAAAAAAAGGAAAAGCTTATCAAATACACGTCCGAATGACCTGAGATTGTCTGTCATGGTCCCAAGCAGAAACGGCTTGTGATGGAAAATCAGCTGGTGCAGCGTACACATTAGTGTGCCCAGCAAGGGCCTTTCCTGGAGACAACCAAGGTGCTTCAGACTGTGGCAGAGTGCCTGATGCCCACTTCCCTTCGCACCACCGGAGCAGTAAACAGAGTGGACCAGCGAGAGCAGAGATTCCATCAAAGCGATCCTTTTATTGAAGGACATTTTCAAGTGAAACTGGCATTTTTTTTTTTTATTGCTTAAAGTATTACAAAGGGTATTACATATGTGACTTTTTTTCCCCCGCCCTTGACAATCCCCTAGCCTCCCCTACCCCCCAGTGTCTTATGTCCATTGCTTATGCTTCTATGCATGCATACAAGTCCTTTGGTTGATCTCTTACCCCCCTCCCTCCTGCCCCCTAACCCTCCCCGGCCTTCCCGCTGCAGTTTGACAATCTGTTTGAGGCAGCTCTGCCTCTGTATCTATTATTGTTCAAAAGTTTATAATGGTCTCTATTATCCATGAATGAGTGAGATCATGTGGTATTTTTCCTTCATTGACTGGCTTATTTCACTTAGCATCATGCTCTCCAGTTCCATCCATGCTGTTGCAAATGGTAAGAGTTCCTTCCTTTTTACAGCAGCATAGTATTCCATCGTGTAGATGTACCACAGTTTTCTAATCCATTCATCTACTGATGGGCACTTAGGCTGTTTCCAGATCTTAGCTATGGTGAATTGTGCTGCTATGAGCATAGGGGTGCATATATCCTTTCTGATTG